AACGTCAGTACATTAAACAATATGTCACCATGAAATCATCCAATGCAATCATATCTTGTGATTGGTTGACTAAGTGGTTGATTGGACAAAAGAATTGAAAAATTCCCAAGAAAAATGAAAAAAAAAATTGAGTGAAAATGGTATTTGAAAATTAGAGTTGTGTTTGGATATGAATATAACTTTGGGTTGTTTTAAAGTTTTATGAGTGGTCTGAGTGAAAATTTTGAAAAACAGCTTTTTGGAGTTTTTCAAATTTTTGAAAAATTTCAAAATTTATTTTCAAGTAAAGATTATAAATTTTATGGCCAAACACTAATTTCGAAAAAAATAGAAAAAGTAAAAAAATTCTTATGTCCAAACAGGCTCTAATAGTGACAAATCGTCAAAAATAGTGTTATTCTAAAGTCAGACGCCGAAAGGGCAAGCATGCGGCGGGCTAAGTTTTACTTGTGGCGATGTGGTCTCGGCCTGCTAAGTATATGGATTAAGGTTGATGCCTTATTTATTTTAAATGAATACCCTTTTAAAAAATTATATTCCATAGCCAACTTTTAATTTTTTATAGCCAAATATCTATTTATGGTCACCTCCTACCCTTAAGCTATAAAATAAGCTTTGTATTATTTTTCTCTCTCCACTCAAATTTCTCATGTCCCCTCAAATTTCTTGTATCCCCTACCCCATATCTATTCTCCCTCCCTCTCTCTCTCTCTCTCTCAAATTTCTCGTATCCCCTACCCCATAATTCTCGTATTATTGTCTTTTTTTTCATTGTATCTCAATGTATCTCGTTGTATTCCATGTATTTCATTGTATTCACTGTCTCGTTGTATTTCATGAATGTATTCATATATTTTTTTAATTAATATAATTATGCATTCAGATGTATATATGTATTCAAATTGCTTTGTTTTTGTTGTATTATCGGCTGGGAAAAATATTCAGCATATTTTCTCTGAAGATTGCTATATTTTTGTGGTGTTTTTCGGTTGAGAATCTTTTTTATAACTGCAAATACAAATTTAGTGTGTTATAATTGAGTTTGTTGAGTTATATTAGGAGTCTATTATGTTAATTGATTCACTTTCCGTTTAAAAACAGTCGAATAGACCATGAATAGCGCTATTTACGTTACCGTATTCACAAATACATATCGGGAATACAGTCGAATACAATAATCTGTCTAGCTGTAATCCCCTATTTCGAATACAGTCGAATACAAAAATCTGTCTAGCTGTAATCCCCTGTTTCACGCCTAGAAATGATACTGTATTCATGAATACAGTAGCTTAAATACATCGAATACACTTTAAAAACCCTGAAAACATAGCTATAGGAAGTAATATAGTAAATGGTAGCTACAACTAGCTAATAACCACTAAAACATAGTGGTTTCTAAAAGTTTCTCTAAATATATTGATTAGATTTCCATAATCATGTGGGCTACTGAAGGTGCTCTCAGTTTTTCCACGTGAAGCCAAGCCCTTCACACTCCGCCGCGGAATAATTGGGGTTATTATAGCTTTACCCACAAAAATTAAATTAATTACCCTTCCTACCCTAGTTGGAAATTTTTAAGAAATTAAAAAGTGACTTATTTAATACGGTATATTGTTATATTATATTGTATACTATAACAGGATAATGTTACTATAACCATGACTTTAGATTTGCACAATAGCACCTAGATGATTCAACAAGTAGCACTCGAAGTATGCTATTATTAATACTATTACAGATACACTGCATATTATTACAGTATACCATTACAGTATATTGTATACTATAACAGTATTGTATATTATAACAGTCTACTATTGCAGTATAGCTATATACTCCTACAGTATATTGTATACTGTAACGGTATATTGTTAGGTAACTGTGTTCTTCTTTGATTATTACAGTATACCGTTGCAGTATATTGTATACTATAGTAGTATATTTGTGACGACCCGGCCCGTTGTCACGTGAGTTACCGCCCTGTTTCCCCCATTTTCTGTCTCCTCATGTTTTATTATAAGAGTCTTCAGTGAACGAGTCGATTTGGATTGGTTTTGGATGGAAATGAGACACATAGTCTCTTTAAGGAAGGTGTGTATTGGAAAAGTCAACCGGATGTTGACTTGTGAGTTAGAGGGCTCGGATGTGAATTCTGGTGATTTGGTTAGCTTCGGGGGATGATTTGTGACTTAGGAGTGTGATCGGAATCGATTTTGGAGGTCCGGTGTAGAATTAGACTTGAATTGGCGAAGTTAGTATTTTGGCGAATTCCGGTTGATGGGTGAGATTTTGATCCGAGGGTCAGAATGGAATTCCGAGAGTTGTTGTAGCTTCGTTAGGCGATTTTGGATGTGTGTGCAAAATTTCAGATCATTCGGAGGTGTTTTGGTCGGGTTTTTGATCGAATGCGTAATTCGAAAGTTTTGGAAGAACTTAGGCTTGAATTTGATGTAAATTGATGGTTTAGGTGTTATTTGTGGTGTTTTGATGATTCGAGTGAGTTTGAATAAGGTGTTGGTTCATGTTTGCGCTTTTAGTTGAGGTCTCGAGGGCCTCGGGGTAATTTTATATGGCTATCGGGATGAATTTTGGACTTATGAGACTGCTGGTATGTCTGGTTTCTGGTATTTCCGCATCTGTGGAAAGGGAGCCGCAGATGCGGTTGCGCAGGTGTGGAAGGAGGGTCGCAGGTGCGGTCGCTTGGCTTTAATGGAAGATAGCGCAGATGCGGAATGGGAGCCGCATCTGCGAGACCGCAGATGTGGTAGATTGGTCGCAGAAGCGAAGTGGAGTGGCCTTGGAATTTCCGCAGGAGCGAACAGGTATTCGCATAAGCGGAATTCGCAAATGCGGAGAGTGGACCGCAGAAGCGGTCGTGGAGTTAAATGAAGATCCGCAGAAGCGGGAGTATAACCGCAGAAGCGGTGGCCGCAAATGCGGTAAAGGAACCGCATATGCGAAAATCTCTGTTCACAGAAGGGTTTTAAGGCTCATTTTGTTCCGCGAGCTTAAGTCCATTTCCGTCATTTTTGATCGACCTTGAGAGCTCTTGGACGGAATTTGAAGGGGATTTCAACTAGGTGTGATTGGAGGTGAGTTCCTTGGCCTAAATACATGAATTTATGGTAGAATTAACATGGAAGTTTGTGGAAATTCATCAAAAGAGGGTAAAGCTAGGGCTTGGGAATTTGATATTTCAAAATGGAATTTGAGGGGTCAAATGGACTCCGATTTTGGTAAATTTGATATGTATAGACTCGTGGCGAGATAAGGAATCCGGTGATGTTAATTTTCTGATTTTTCGAGAAGTGGGCCCGGGGCTCGGGTTTTGCCAACTTCGTGAATTTCGATGTTTTTCGAGTCTTTTCGGTTGGGTTATATTCCCTTAGCCTATTGTAACGTATTCGTTGTGTTTTTTNTCAAACCAACATATAAATATATAATTTTTGTATATACTTTTAAGATTTTATATAAAAAAAATTTTAAAAAATGACTAGAAATATTTGGGATTATCTTGCGGGATATAATATTTAATAGTATATGAAGTGCTCCATATTTATTAACCTTATATAATGGATTGTATGATCACTTTCTCATCAAGTGATACTGAAATGTGTCAATCTCTTTGTTCTTCTGTACTCATATCATATGTTAAGATCTACTAAATTGTTATAGCTTTTTCGAATGTGAAGTGATTATTATTATTTAGGTATCATATTGATTTTTATGTTTAATTACTAAATTCGGTTAACCTTACATTAACGAAACATTATTGTCAAACGACTAAAAAGTTAACTATTATGTGTTACTAAGAAGATTCTCTCATAAGAATATTTTAATAGATAATATGTTTGTCAATTTTTTATATTTTTTACCAAACATATACTTGCTTATCAAAAATTTAATAAAGTAAGATTGAAATAATATTTAAGTAATAAAAAATCCGAAAAACCCGAAAAATCCGACAAAACCGAACCAATCCAAACAAAACCAAACCAACCCGGTCCATGTACACCTCTAATTGGAATGATAAAACTAAGAAGAATGTAGTAACATGAATATGCAACGTGTAGGAAAATTTACAGTCAATCAAGAAAAAACAGCGTATAATAACAAACAACTCAGAAAACCTGACGAGTTCAAAAATTACTAAACAAAAACGCAGAGCAGATTGGACAGCTAGTTGTGTACTTGTGTTGGCTAAGTACGCTGGTAGTTAACAATAATTAAAAGTTAACCCAAAAAAATAAAGAACAGATAAGAAGAAAATAACAGATCAGGGTTTGAAGAAGTTTCCTTTCTTTTTACTTGCATTGACACTCTCACAAGATATTATTTTGAATGTCCATTTAACTTGAGAAATACGATCAATAGCAAACATTTTTCTCTACATAGTCAACCAGCTATCCTTTTTGGCAGGAAATCAAAGGTAATAACAAACTGAGCAATGAGTTTGAATTGAGCTGGTGATTCATATCAAACATATTACGTTTTCCACGAATTGAATGGCAGAGTCGCAAAATGAGTTGGCTCCGTTAGTGAGACGCTTCACCCCAAGGCTTTGGCTAAATATTAAGAACACAACGTCTGATATGAACAGGTCAATGACACAAATGACCTTGAAATTAGTTGATATTTAACTTTTTAACTATGCATAAAATGGGACTATTATTCAATGCCTTTGCAAACAATGACAATTTTTCGCTTACCAGTCCAAAAACTAGCTTACCAGTCCAAAAACTAGCTAGCTCATGCTATTTTCGCACAAAAACCTGATATTTAAATAAAGGTAAAGGAACAAGCCCATTGTCCTCCTAATTAACTAGCCTTTAGTGATTTCTCGTTTATCAAAAACACTCTACTGAGATGCCTTCACTTCCAATCAAAACTTGGAGTCACAATAAGGAGTTAAGTATGAAACACTCATCGCCTCTTCAGGTTGGGGTGGGTTAAAAAGTCCAAAGGAAAAGAGAGCAGTTGGGTTATAGAGCACTTAATCTGAGAAAACTGAAAAAGAAAAGGTTCAATACATTTATTGAAAAGACCACTGATTATCCAACAAAATGTACCTATAAATAACTGCTTTGTAATTTCTAAATCCTAGATTGTCCAACAAGTAAATAAGGAAAACAGGAATTAACAGCTTGTTCCTCTTCAATACTACAAAAGGTTTACTCTCAGAAAAAGTGTCCGAGTCTCTCTTCCAGTATGTGAAGAGAAATTCATGGTAACAAGTACCCAAGAGATAGAATTAAGCTTTATACTCGCGTCTTTTCGGCCCTTTGGGAGAAGGATGGGTGCTTAGACAACAATGTCTACACGTTCGAACTCAATCAAGGACATGTTAATATCTTGATCCACAGAGAAACTGGCTGGTTGACCAACTTCAATACGGCCAAATCTATCAACAGCAAGCCTCATCGATCCTTTGAACATGTCAACTTTAGCTTTTGTCAAGACTAGTGTGGAACCTTCTTGAATTAAATCCACTACACAAAAAGACAGTTATAAAAGTTAAGGCATCTTCGATGAATAACTATAGCGAAATCTTGAATTCCCAGTGTAAAAGTGAGATTAATACATTCTTTTCCCAGTCAACTTCTTAAATATACAAGGACAACAAGACAATAGTTGATATACTTGTTAATAAAGCATCAATCAAACCACAAGCATTAAAGAAAATTAGATAGAGCAATATTGGAAGCCACCAATTTTAAAGACTTACCCCGTCTTCTTCCAATTTTTTCTGGCTAAATTTAAGAGACTTAACAGTTCAAGCCATTTCCTGCTGGTGCTGGGTAAATTCAATAGACCAAGTTTCTTCGTCCTTTCTAGTTTATATAAAGTCATTATCTTTCTCTTTCATTTTACTATAAATTCCTAAATCCAGGCTCGTTTTGTAAAATTAAAGAACTTAAAGTCAACCATATACATGTCACCTTGATGCTTCAACCAGGCAAGCACTCAGATATCAAATATGTTACGAAAAGGGTGTGCAAGAATCTGGTAATTTTAGATAGCATTTATTGAAGCTCTGAAATGTGATTAGCAACCAGAATTACTTTTGTAACCAGTTTGGAGGAAAGGGTATTGAATGAGGAGGGGGAAGAATCTACTCCTTTTGGGAGATCCCTAGAAACATATATTAAAACAATGACACTACCATACTCGTTCAATTACAGCTAATCAAGATACTACCACATTTGTTTCAAGTAATTTTCCACTTTCTAACCCACATACAGATGTTCCCTTTACCATCCCTGAATTTGGACCAATCACTTTATTCTAATGTAAGCCTAGACATATCAGAAGCCTCAATACACTTCTATCAGAGTCTGATCTCTCCTTTCTCTATGTGTTTTCTAACACTAAAGAAGCAGCACAGGCGAACACGGAGTGTGTGACACTCGGACATACTTTCCCCATCTATATTATGCACTGTGCTTTATAATCTACCCAGAATTCCCAAAGTCAATTAAAAGAAGATGAAGAAAGAAGCCACATATTTATCGAAACACAATGAAGAGCTGAAAACTACAATCATAATAAAGATGATGAGATAGTATGCAACACGAAGACATATTACTTAGCAAATGATCAGAAAACTCTTTTCAGTGAGAACTTACCATAATACTAGTCTCTACTTCAGACTTCAGAAAATAATAGACTTCGGGAAAATTGTTTTGGAGTTGCATACATGATTACATTATGAAAAGGAAGACCCAAATGTGGGATAAACTTAAATCTTCCAGATGTTGAGGAGCATGAAACCGAGAAAACGGACCAATTAAACATGTAGTTTAACTTTACAAAGGCAAATGATTACATTTAGGAAAGCAGGAATGTTTAAGTGTATATAAGGTTGAAGCAACTAATACTTATGTTGACATGTAGTGTATTTAGATCTAGGGTAGTTTGTCCTGTTTCTGTAGTACAATAGTTGTTAAAAGCACCATCCCTACACCAACTATGACAGGAAGCCAACAAAAAATCATCTCAAAATTCTAATCCTTAACGATACTAAAAAGGCTCTAGACAAAAACCTCCTAGTTATAACAAAGAACCTCTATTTTACAATCTTTCCAAAGGAACAACTTCACAAACATTTTTAAAAAGGGGGAATGACCAAAATAGTCTATAACTTTATATTGCACACTTCCTCGTTGCCCAAGCAAACTCATACTTGAAACGTGCCACACGTGTAACATCACCAACATAAATGCTAACAAATAAGACAAAGCCAATGCCAACGTGTGCAAGTACACCACATAAGCTTCTAGATATTCAGCCTTCCCAGCCATTCCCCTTTTCCTATCACTCTCTCGTTGAGTTTAGCCAAGATCTCTAAGCTCGTGGAGCACCATTTTCCACTTTCATTCCTCCCTATTCTAGGGAATAAAAATAGTTAGGTATTGCAAATTAGGTAAACGTACTGGAGCTAAGAAAGAACCACTTATAATTCCCTTTGATATGCTAAAGCGCATCAGTGGACAAGAATGAAGATCAAACAAAGACATGTAATCATCCTTGGCTAATGATAATAATGGTTAAACCCAGTTATTGGTTTCAATCAGCAGTAGTAAGGATTCTTTATGCATATAATCAGTATCCAATGCTGCATATAGTCTCTAAATTAGAAAATGGGCAACAAGAATATTGTATTAGGACCATTATTTCTTTTTCCAAATAGTCAAAACTCCATAAGTACCAAACTGGCACACCCAACATAACTGTATGCATTCAGATTCTAGTAATTTCTCCATCCTGATTTGCTAAACAGTTCACGAGCACTGATTCCTGCCAGTCAACATACATTGAGAACACCACAAAATTCTTGATAGCTAAAGCTAACAATTTCCCAATTGTAAAAGCCTCCCTATGGATATTATTCATGTATATCAGCGAGGGGATCTAACCAGCCAACATCTTTTTCCAAATTTCAAATAAAATTTGATCCTTTACTGCACCCATCGAATCCTTTCAACCACCACTATTATTAACAAGACATAAATACATTTCCACCCAGCATTACAAAAATATGCCAATCTTACAATGAAGACTCAATAAATCTCAATAACTCATTCTTCAGCTTCGACGCAACATGCAATACAGACAGATGAATTCAAACATATAACAACAATGAAAATCAGGAAAATCATTTAAATCAGTTACCCTCCAATCATCAATGACAAGATCTTAAAAATATTTGTTCTCAATCGATGATACAGGCCAATTCTAACAATAAAGATTCAATTTTTCTCAATCCCAACGTATTCGGCTTCGAGGAAACATCTAATACAACAATTATAATGTAAAAACAGAAAAATCATTGCAAATCATAAACAAAACATGCATACAGATCAATCTCCAGGAAATCAACCAATGATATTAAACTCTTGGTAAAAACAAAAATTACCTTGATCATTGCGGGCAGTAAAAATAATAATTCCAGTTTCATCACCCACCAAACATTCAGCAAGACGATTTCTCTGTGCAATTGGCTTTTTACTAATAACCTTTACAGTTATATTAACCCCAAAATCTAATGGCCGAAGCTGATTCACTTTTTTAGATCCCACTTGCTGCTTCTTCTGCTCTGCCATTATTTCAACTTTTTTTTCCTGAAAACATTTATTTCCCAGAAAAAAATAAAAAATTGGAAATAATTTCAGGGAATTTTAATAAAAAATCAAATACAGCAAATCTTGACATAAAGATTGTATTTTTTTCTTCTTCATGTTTTTGCATAAATTTAGCTGTTTTGACATAAAAAGAGAACAGACCTGAAACTCGATTTCGCCGGAGAATGATACGAGATTTGTTCTAAGAAGAAGAAAATTCGAAGTTTTAAATAAAATTTGCAAAAACGGTTTGGTTGGTAGGCCTAATTAAATGCAACTTGGGTACATATTTGAAGTCCTTTTGTATGTTGACAATCAAATTGGTGAAAAGAGATTTGGGCTTGTGATGAGTTGATATGAATTGGGCCTCCAATAGTTCGAAAATCCATAAGAAAGCCCAATAAATATATTCTTCTTACAAAAATTAATCTAAATAGCTGCCCATCCAATTGTTTAAACTAAAAATTGCGGCGAATATATATATATATATATATATATATATATATATATATATATATATATATATATATATAAAATTAGTGTATAATCTATGTATGTTGGCTAGAAAAAGTAAACAGTGATACCGCCCGGCTATTTGCGTAAAGATCCCTTCTTCCTTTTTTGTGATTATTTTGAGTTTCCTTGAGGGTGGAACGCGAGTATCATCACGTCTTTCCAGCTTATATAATGTGAGTATTAATATTGCAATGGGATTTTTACATTCCTATGCCATATAGTAAACTATATTATCCTTCATGCTTAACTTTTAATGTAATTAACTTTTATATACCTATTTACCATTTATGTATATTTTAGGGGTTTTAATGGTATTAATTAGTCTCCTAATTTAATTCTACCGTATATTCCTACTCCCCCCAAGTTTCTCTCTCCAAATCTCACCCCCTCACTCACGTATCAAACCACACCCCACGATTCCCTCTTCAATCACCCACTATTTCCTCTTCTAAAGCCAGCGAAAATTTGTAATCCCTCCACCATTGACAACCATTAAAAAGCTTTGAAGCTTTGAATTCGAATTTGGATTTTCAAAAGACATTGTTTGTTTGGATTGGATGTTGTTGCAAGGAATTGAGAATTCTCTCTACGTCTCTCTCTATCTCTCAATCCCAAATTTCAGTAATATAAAGCAAAAGGAAAAAAAAAAGCAGCAATTCCACCACTGACAGCCATTAAAAAGCTTTGGAGCTTTGAATTCGAATTTGGGTTTTCAAAAATCATTATTTGTTTGGATTGGGTGTTGTTGCAAATAATTGGGAATATAGTTTGGAGTTTATATCTCAATTTTGAGGGGTTTTGGTGAAGATTAGACTTGGTTTTGGCTGAATTTCAGATTGAAACTCGAAGAAGAAGAAGAAGAAGAAGAAGAAGAAGACATGACATACATTATATTGCAGAAGTCGTAGTAAAATTGTAGAAAAATTGTATTCTGTTGTTTATTTATTTTTCTTTTATTCATTTAACTATTGTGTGAAAGTTGAACAACATTGTATAAAAATTATATTTAAGTTGTATGATATTGTAGTTGTATATAACTGAGTAGAAATAATGTACAAAAATTGTAGATAAGTTGTATAATATATAATTAGTTGTATAATATTTATTTTTACTATGTATAAATCAGATACAAAATATACAAAAAACATATTGTATAAAGTTTGTATTTAAGTTGTATGTTATTGTAGTTGTATTTAACTTGGTAGAAATAATGTGTGAAAGTTGTAGATAAATTGTATAATATATAATTAGTTGTATGAAATTTGTTTTTACTATGTATAAATTAGATACAAAATATGCAAACGACATATTGTATAAAATTTGTATAAAAATTATATTTAAGTGGTATTATATTGTTGTTGTATATAACTGAGTAGAAATAATGTATGAAAATTATAGATAAATTATAGATAAGTGGTATAATATATAATTAGTTGTATAAAATTTGTTTTTACTGTGTACAAATCAGATACAAAATATACAAAAGACATATTGTATAAATTTTGTATAAAATTTATATTTAAGTTATATATTATTATAGTTGTATTTAAATGGGTAAAAATACAGAATTCTGGTCGTTTGTATAATTTGTATTTAAGGGACAAGTTGTAACATGACAGACCGAGAACGATGTCCGAGAAAGCACGTAAAACTAGCTATTTTGGGAACTTTTAGTTGGTTTAACAAAGGCCAAACCAAATTTCCATCAAGTGACCCTTTTTCTTTTAGTTTTAATCAGCTCCATCAAGTAGAGCTGTGGAGAACATAAGCAATTCCAAACAGCTTGACAATATTAAGATGCTGGAAGCAGAAAGTTTGAAGTTGAAAATAAACTGAAATAAGCAGCAGCCGAGTTTTTGACAAAACCTTCAATTGGAAAAATATTGGTAAAAGTTTACAAAAGTAAATTCTTATAAGAAAATCACATTATATCTTGAATTAATAAACACGCCCAATAATATCCACGCCCAAACGACCAGAATTCTGATGTGTCTACCTCTTTAAAAATTAGAGCAGGAAAGATCCACGTGACATATGAGTGGAAACATAAAGAAAGAGAAGAGGAGAAAAAAAAAGGAAAAGGGTGTAACTAAATCCCTTAATTGAAGGCACTAATAATGGATTGCGAGTCTTTTAAGGTGGAATGTATATATTTTATAAACAAAACTTGTATAGGCAGGGTAATTTACTAAACATGAACATATAGGGTAATATAATTTACTTTATGACATAGCAATGTAAAAATCCATATTGCAATTTAGGAAGGTTGAAATTTTAAAAAATGAGAAAACAACAAATTTTGCCTCTCATCAAGAGTATTATTGCTGCTTAGGATGGTTGAGATTCGGAAAATTGAAAAAAAAACATATTTTGTTTCTCATCAACATTCTCTTACCAAATAACTAGTCTTTCTCGGTAAATTAGTGGATAAAATCTATTTCTTTGTAACAAAAGTTTAAACTTAGTATAGATCAATTCTTTTTAAACAAAATTACCAAAAAAAAAAATCTTTTTAAACAAAGGAGTCGAAATTCAGAGAGCTTTAGCTATCATGAGGTTGCTATGAGCGTCAACACGCAGGTCATGTAAGTCTCATGAATTTTTAAAAATACAAATGTCTTTTAAAAAAATATTTGAAGTTGATAATATCTAAAAGAGAAATGTACGAAATTGGTTTATATATCTACGAATATAATATTTAAAATAAAATTTCCTACAATCATAAGAATGCCTATAAGCTTTTTGTACACGTACGTTTAGAAGACGTGCTTATTTTTATCCTTTTTTCCAACTTGATAATTATTTTTTTTAAGACCAAAAAAAGAAAAAACAAATCCTTTTTTGCTTGAAACAAATGTATATATAGATCGACAACGCAGCTTTTGTAGTAAGATGACAATGGACGACTTATAGCACTCATTTTCTGTTGAAAGAAGAATTGAAACTGGAGATGAAGGAGAGCAAAGAGAGAATGTCGGTTATGAGAGGATATTTTCTCATTAAAACTAAAAGGAAATGAAAATGTACAATTTATATTATTTTCTAATTCACTAACTTAACCCAATATTAACTTGTGTCTAACTAACTATGGCTAGTTCTATATATACACAATGTATAACTACTACTAGGACTTAATATTTCTACACTACCCCTCAAGTTGGGTGATGAAATACATTGATCATCCCCAACTTGTATACCATATCATTGTGTAACTGTTTCCCAAGGCCTTTATTCAATATGCCTGCCACCTGATTTTTGCTACACACATGTTCTGTCTAGATCAACCCACTTTGTATCTTCTCTCGTATAAAATGGCAATCTATCTCTATGTGTTTAGTGCGTTCATGATACATAGGATTTGAAGCTATCTGCAATGCTGCCTTGCTGTAACAAAATAACTCCATGGGCAGTTCAATCTTCATGTCTAATTCCTGCAACAGTCCCTGTAGCCAAACAAGTTCTGCCACTATAGTCGCCATACTCCTGTACTCAGCTTCAGCTGAGCTCCTTGAGACTGTGCTCTGTTTTTTTTATTTCAAGGAGATTAGGGAATCCCCCGGCTTAATACAATACCTTGTCATTGACTTCCTAGACACCACACGTGATGCCCAGTCTGCATCACAAAAGGCAGTGATCCTTCCAGATTTTCTATTACTCATCAGTAACCCCACTCCTGGTTGGTCTTTTATGTATCTAACCACCCTTAAAGCTGCTTCATACTGCATCTCTGTTGGAGAATGCATGTATTGACTCAATGTTTGGACTGCAAATGAAATATTTGGCCTAGTGATAGCCAGATATAGCAATCTTCCCAACAACCGTTGATATGGTCTTCTATCTTCTAATTATGGACTTGTACCTTTATCAGGTTCAAACAACTTATCATATTCAAGGGTGGTGAAATTCTGATTTTGTTCTAAAGGTGTTGCAAGTGGCTTTGCTCCCCCTAGGCCACATTCTGAGATCAACTCCAAGGCATATTTTCTTTGATTCATAATTATACCCTTAGATGATCTTGCAAATTCAATCCCCAAGAAATATCTCAATTCTCCTAAGTCTTTCATTTTAAAGTTGCTGTTCAGAATGTTCTTAGCTTCTTCTATCAGTTTGGTGTCATTTGCCAGTGATTAACAAGTCGTCCACATATACTAGAATGATCACAAGAGTAGTATCTTGGCCTTTTGTGAACAAGGAATAGTCCATCTTACTCTGTGTGAAACCTGATTGCACTAAAGTTGTAGTAAGTTTAAGTTTCCATTGTCTGTTGGCTTGTTTTAACCCATACAAGGATTTGAGGAGCTTCCATACTTTGTTCTCCCCCTGGCCATCAAATCCTTGAGGCAGAGAGATATAGACCTCTTCAAATAAGTCCCCCGGGAGAAAGGCATTGTAGACATCCATTTAGTAGAGAGGCCAGTCAAACTGAGCAGCCAGAGAAACAACACACCTGACAGTGATGATTTTGACCACTGGGGAGAAGGTGTCATGATAGTCTAACCCCTCTTGTTGGGTGAAACCCTTGGACACTAATCTAGCTTTGTACCTTTCCACACTACCATCATCTTTGTACTTTACTTTGTATATCCATTTGCACCCAATAGGTGTCTTACCTGCAGGTAGATCAACTACATCCAGGTATGAATATCAATAAGGGCAGCAATTTCTAATTTCATAGCCTGAATCCAGTTAGGATCTTGGACAACTTGATTAAAGGAAGTAGGTTCAGAAAAAACAGAAAAGGTACATAAGTATG